GTCGGCTGGTGTTCTGGGGAAGGTTCTGAATTACAGCAAATTTCCGGCTAAACTGCAAAATACACTGCGCAAAGAGGTAGTAGACTCATACCATAACTTACTGGTGATTTTTTTCTTGCTTTTTCTATCAGGAAAAAGATGTGGATTTACAAACGCTCACACAGGGGAGTAACATATCTGGGATGTCTTGTCGTGTCGCTGTTTTTATGGAGGACCGTGGCAGGCTGTCTGGAGGCCTGTATCTGCGCCCAGCCTCAACCGGGACAGTACATTACTAACTGCCAGGGAAGGTCCCTCTCGGAGATTCCGGATGGCATTCCAGATAACACCGTTACCCTGTAAGTATTATGCATGTTTTATCCCTTTTTTCAAACTGTAAAATCGTTTAAAATGTGTCCATAGCGAGCTACTAAGCTTGGCATTTTTAACTTACATGTCGACTGCAATTTTGGGACAGTAAATAAAATATTCAGACTAAGGCGATCTGTATTATATTGATACATACTGCCCAAATTAGCACATTTTTATCAGTATTACATAATATAAAATGACAGTAAATATCAGGCATATTTAATTATCCAGAATACTGGTATTTCATTTTTTGTTTTATATTGTTTGGCACCGTAAAATTGCTTTGTGTGACTTAAATAAGTCATTAGATCTGTTCTATGTTAGCACTTTTCTGCTATTAGTTCCTATCAAGCGATAGAAGCTTCATGGTCCTATAAATATTCAGTTAACCTATACCAGAAAAGACAAGGCTCAGTCTTAAATGTCTATGGTGACATATCCTCACATGTTGGTCTGTCGCCAAAAACACACAAAAGATACGGATACTGTGATTTAGGTTTTCTTAAGGGTAGGGCAAGTCGTCTGGAAAGCATAGGTTGGAAAGGTTTGAAGAAAGAAAACGACGACTCTGTCGTTGGAATTTAATGCTGAGTCGTGATGTGAGTAAACTTAGTGCTACAAAACGTGCTCATGGGTCTGGACTGTTTATGTGAAAGACAAGTAACAACTTATATCTACAATTTACCAAATATATATGACATATAGTAATAGTTTTCTCACCTTTTGTGGAGGTACCAAAATACTAAGACTCCTAACGTAGCTTGTTCTTGGGCTATTATAAATGCTTTAAGTATGATTCAATGACGAAAATGTACTCAGAAATGGCTGTAAATGTCACTATCTGTCAGATTTTCCTCGTTCAGAATATTTTTGCATTGCCACCCTTAAAATCAGCCTGGGTGCCATCCTCCGTGGTTTCCGCCGGCTACCTAATGTCGCTAGCTACCACTGGCACCCAGGCTACCCTGACATAGCATTGGCTGCCTTTAAATAATGGTCTAGAATGCACTGCCTCAAATTCTCTAAGGTCCTTTTCCTACTAGAATAACATTTTTCAGATCGAGCCGAATTGATTCGCTTTGATCCAGCTTCGATCCGGCTTCGATCAGGCATTAAAGCGAATCGATTCGGATCGATCCGGACAATTTTATCCTAGTGGGAATGGCGCCTATATCGCTGTATGGTGATCCTGACTGAACCCTTCACAAGTCCAGAGCTAAGAGGCCTAACAATTAAAAGTAGCTGATGGTCTGCAGCTGGGTTTACACATGCTTAAACACTTGTTTGTGGTAATAAGATTAAGCGGGAGTGATTGACAGGTGTTTGGTACGAAGCAATACGAGAATGTCCCGTCAACAAGTGTCTAGTAACGACAGTAAAGAGAGGGGGGGGGTGCTATTTTCCACAACAACATACTGTACTATTTAAAGGCATTCAATGCAATTTCAGGGCGACAAAATTCTGGATAAGGAATTCTGTCTGATTTTAACATCTAATGCAATTTTGAACACATTTTTTATCATTTAATACTTTATGAAAAAAGGAGGTTATATAGAGATTAATGGCATCCAATGCAATTTTAGGGTAAGAAAACAAAAATTGCATTTTTTATTGATTCAACTTCTTCTTCTTTACTCGTCCTCTTCTGAGGTGCAGCGTGTGAAGTTTTTGGGGCCAGTACTTTCTGTCTTTCATAGCAGACAAAAGTTCCACTCCTTGTAGACCAGTAGATTGTAGATTCAACTTACTACAGTTAAAAAATGACCAGCCTGAAATTGCATTGGAAGCTGTATGCTACACCGTGCTTCATGTTTTGAATTATACACATTTTCTTTTGCAGAGGTTTAGGGATGAACCGTTTGACATCAGTACCGGGGGGAATTTTCTCCCACCTCACCAACATGCGAGCCATGTAAGTGCTACCCTTCTGTGTTTAATAATGGATTTTATACATTGTGAACGAATTCTTTTGCCGGCCAATGTAAGACAAACCTAGTCTCTAACAGGCTTCGGGAGACGGTTAGAAAGAGTACGAATTGGCCGAATAGAGAGATTACATGCCGGGGAGTTTGTCTGCTGGGAGCGAACATTTTGTTGAACCCAACTCTTTCCAGCCGCCTCCCAAAGCCAGGTAGAGGCCACTCTATCGGACCAACTCCCCTGACGTGTTATCTCTCTATTAGGCCAATGACTATTCTTTCAAGCCGCCTCCCGAAGCCTGGCAGAGGCTAGGACAAACCCGCATCAGAAGTTGGCCGGATGGTTGTTTACGATGGTCGGCAAATTAAAGAACTCGTTAACGATACAAAACCCAGTATCATAACGCAAGCCGGTCGGAGGTCTATACACTATACAGTATTACTAGTATACCTAGACTAAGTGCATGAAGCTATTTATCAACTTTTTTGCGATTTAATATAATTTTTTTTGCGATATTAATATAAAAGAAATATTAATGCACATATCAATGCATGCACGTGTAGAGAGTACAGTGTGGTAAATTCGTCCCATTCACCTGCTCGCCTGTCAAACAGTAATTGTGAATATGTGAATATTAGTATTAGTAACGAAATGAAATTGTTAATGCATTTAGCGTGTTATACAATCGTATGTGATTTCAAGGCATTGCAAAATTTAAGACGACACGCATATTGTGATTGCCTGATACTGCTGAGCTTTGTCTGAAATTGATTTGTTGTTTATCTGGTAGCCCATAATTGCAGAATAAGGAATATAATTAAATAACACTTGCAAAAAATTGCTACACGTACTCTTAATGATGTGATATTTATGGCATTGCATGCATGACAATTCAATTAAATATTGTACTGGCATGCAATTACGGAGAGGAATTTGATCTTTATTATTTAACAGGCAGACACATGTCTGAATTTTGATGGCATTTAGTAAGATTGGCAAACCATAAATTTACATAGAGCACAGTGCATACCGATAATATGAGCTATTATAACACTCGTATTACAAGCTTAGGATGATTATGTCGTAAAAAGATAAGTAATAATTTTTCATTACTTTACAAGATTGACAAGTGGTAAAGTGTAGATATTTGTAAGCCCGTTTATATATTATGTAATTATGATCCTTAAATTTCAGATATTTGCAACAAAATATGATCACAAGTATCGAAGACGGCGCATTCGAGGGACTTATCAACTGTGAAGTGCTGTGAGTATTTTTAAATCAATTATGTGTACATCAAAAATATGTAATCCGTATACATATATCATGTGTACAAACGATGCTGTTTTTAAGATAAAACCAGTATATTTTACCGTGTGTATGTGTATTCTTTGTTGATTCGAAGATTATTTGTGAAAAAAGGTAAATATAGATATAATAATAAAACTAAACGTTATCAAACACTGACGAACGTTGCCTGCGATAACCGATTTTAATACATTATATGTAGGTACCATTCGTCCTCTACTTTGTAATATCTCTACACTGTAGTCTGTAATTGATATGTACTGCATTCAATAAAATCTGCCATGCTAGATGTGCACCTTGAAATGTCAAACCGTTGTTCTGACGTATTTTGCGTCGCCCTCAATGAACCTTTCACGGTAAGTTTAATGTTAACTTTAGGTCATTAGCAAAATAGAAAAGACTAGTAGTATGAACCGCGACGTTCCATGTTAGCAGATGAAACTTGATTGCCCACACGTAGGTTGGAATAGATTAGGTGATAGAAATACGGTAAATATCACAAGTAATGGAGTATGAACGTCATAGGACTCCCGTGGGAAGGTAGCAGAAAGCAAAAGTTGAAAAACTACTTTATTCGTCAGCCTGTTTCTTAGGCCACAGCAAGGAAATTTTATGGATGACATCCTCCTCAGGCTCTAAATCTAATGCGAGCGGGCGAAAAAAAAACAAGGCGGGCCGAAAAAACAAGGTTCCTACATTTTAAATTTTTGACTCAATCATTGTACAAATAGTTTTGATTTATTGGGAACATCACATATACACAGCCAACATCACATATCACTGCATCAAAGCAATAAAACATTAAATCAGAGCCTTTTCTTTTTTCCTCTCTTCATAGTTATCTGCTATCCACTGGCGTGGCAACAGATATCTTTGTCCATTTTCGGCATGGTGACCACTGTCAGAAGGCAACAAAATTTCTTGTTTTTTTTTCCAAAATCAGGTGAACATTAATGCGCTCGCTGATGTTATCCATAAAAATTACTTGCTGTGGCCTTACAAACAAGTCGTAGACACAGGAATACGGTAAATATCACAAGTAATGGAGTATGAACGTCATAGAACCCCCGTGGGAAGCCGGTATCAGAAAGTAAAAGTTGAAAAACTACTTTATTCTTCAGCCTGTTTCTTAGAAACAGACGAAGTCGTAGACACAGGAAATTAAAAACATCCATCAAGAAAAGCTCCACACATCAACAATAACATTCCCTCGGGTCGGTGAGCTCAGTTCTTTCCAAGACTAGCGACGTCATTGTGTTTTTTTTTTTTATTCCACGGGGTTTTCGTGATGTGTGAACAAAAGAGTCTTACGTCATCAGCATGGATGGGGTCCTGACGGCAGTTGCCTTGGTAACGGTATTGAAAAGAGCCCGGATGGAGAAACTGTCGGGAGAATAGATGTGGTTCAACCTTATGGGAACATGGGGTCATTAAAAGGTCGTATGCAGATTATTAATAGTCTCCACCAGGCTCCTTTGCAGGCTGAATAAATAGTAGAAATCGGCCTAAAAAGGGGATATCATTGGGTCCAATTGCCAGCAAAAGAGTCTGGTGGAGACTAGTACACAGTTCGGTGGTTAAAGGAATTCAATGCTATTTTATGGCAGCAAAACAAAAAAAATATGTTGACATTTTCGCCATCCTTCCATACGTAAAGTATTTGAAATAGCCCAGAAACAAGCTAGGTGAGGAGTCCCTTTATTTTTTGATACCATTGAAAAGCTAGAACCAGAGTATGATACCAAACAAGCAACCCATTTTCCGTAAAAACATCGCCTTTTTGGCCTCACAAATATCCGTATGCAATGGGATATACGATTACTAAATTTTAAAGAAATGCATAACCGAAACCGATTTACAACCTAAGGGATTTAACATAGTGTTTGGGAATCTAAACCATCAATCATCTACACCTTTCCAATTTAATTACTCTGTTAGACTTAGAGAAATTTGTTCTTAATAAACCGGCGTTTAGACCAGGTACTGCGTGTTCCCTCTATTTTATTTCCCATGATTTTAACTCGTGTTTATTTTTGTAATCCGCAGGTTTCTACACGACAACAACATCACCCACATCTCTGCTAACACATTTATAGGACTGGAGTCTCTCTCGAGACTGTAAGTACAATTCAAAACGGAAGACATAAAAATTTAGTTCGTACTTTTAATGTGACTTATTTTTAATGTAATCTTTACTCTCACATGTACATGTACGCCCAGCCATAAATAGTACAAGTTCGCATGGTATGTATAGAGATTTAGACATTATCCTTTTTATATACATGTACATACAAGAAATCGCAATACTAGATATCTTTATCGTATTTGCTCAAATGACATTGTGCCACAGAAAACTTATCGTTTTTTTCCCCTTCCTAGGACTCTACACGAGAACATGATCTACAGTATAGACCAGGGAGCTTTCAACTTCCCACTGCTGTCAGAAATGTAAGAATATTTTTGAAATACATCTTATGGTGCTTTACGAATCATAGCTAATGTTATGTCTAATTAAGGTCGTAGCACTTGGTCAAAACTTTGTGAACAATTCGCTATAGAAGAATGACATAAACCTCCTATAGGTCAACAGTGGTAGCCTCTATCAGGCTTCGGGAGGAGGCTGGAAAGAGTATAACTTGGCCAAATAGAGGGATAAAATGCTCAGGGATTTGGCCCGCTAGAGTTGGTCCTACTAGTATATTCGTGTGCGCCAAAATGTACTCTCTAGCGGACCAACTCCCTTGGCACGTTATCTCTCTATTAGGTGAATTTCTCCTCTTTCCAGCCACCTCCCGAAGCCTGGTAGAGGCTACAACAGATCTAATGCAACACTGACTCCAGGCGGGTAGGGGGGATTTCTAGCCTCCGTAGCAGGCTTATAGAAGTGGGGTTTGTTTGTCTTTGGCTGTTTTCTGATTAGCCCAGTTACGGGGACAATTCAACCTGGCTGGCTATGTTGTCTATATGCAATCAGAAAATAGTACATAAAAGTTCCCAAAAAAAACCGAAGACCCCCAAAACTCCCAGTTTTTGGCATGCTATTGAGGCTAGGGAATGTCAATGTTACGGTATAAACAGGGAGAACGTGCCCTTCCGCCGGAGTTCTGCTGACTGGGGTACACTTGAGCGACCTGACAGGAAGTCACAAAGTTTGTTGTTGACTGGTTGAAGAATGACGCTATACAACATGGCATGTTTAAAATTCAACCGTGGGACTTGGTGCGGGTGTTGTTTCCGTGGTTTTGTTAGTACAAAACTATTCAAGTTATGACATTTTTGTTGAACAATGGCCGATCATGATTTGACAAACTATCTTTGATTGACTCTCTTCTGTTCGAATCTACTTTGCAAGTGTGCAAAGTCATTACTGAGTTTTATTTATTAGTCATTCATTCATTCATTCATTCATTTATTCATTCATTCATTCATTCATTCATTCATATATTCATTCATATATTCATTCATCCATTCATTCAATCATTCATTCATTGATTCGTTCGTTCATATTATTTGCATGACTTTCATTGTACATTTATGGTCTTACAAGTGCAGGTCATGTCAAAGTTGTCCGCAAGACATCATCGTGTTCTATCTTATTCAGTTTTCCCATGATTGTTGACATGTCATCTACAGACCTCACTACCGGTACCCCCTCGCCCAACAAGAATTCGAAGTTCAATATTTCCTTTCGCATTATCATGCCACATTTTAAAAACATTTTTTGTCTATGACTAATATTTTATCCCCCACTGCTTCCAAAACTGATGCCGTCATGTTTGTTGTGACTTCTTTAGTCGCCAGGAAGCCGATTTGTAAAGACCTTGTCCTTGACAAGACCCCCTGCTGTTTCTAAAACTACTTGTCTAATGTTTACTGTGGCATTGCGTGGCGTAATAGCCAGAGCGTTCGGCTCAGAACCAAACGGTCTCGGGTTCGATTCCCTGACATGCTCGATGTTTTGCACTTGGGAAAGCGAGTTCACACGACTTCCCTCCCTTAACGGTGGAGTGACGCCCACTTAACCTTTCGGCTAACCGTTAATATTGTGTCCAAACACTGGGGAGTGTGGGGTCGTGTGCCGCAACGTGCTCGTGCTCGCAGTATGCTCGATTCGGAACCAAGAGTCCCGGGTTCGAGTCCTGACATGCCACCGATCTTATGCCCTTGGGAAAGGCACTTTACACGACTTTTCCAACTTAACTCAAGTAAAACTGAGTATTGTCTGTCTCTATGTGTGGGACACAACACCAGAAACAGCTACCTTTGTCCTACGTGCATTGTATTGTTATGATTTCAATAAATCATATAAAATCAAACACTGAGGAGGACACAGGCTAAGATCTGCACATTTGCCACAAAGAACCTTATTTTTCATGTTTACTTATGTTTGTTGTCGTTACTGTGTAGAACGCTGAGCTCTAACCACCTCGTGTGCGACTGTTCACTCGGCTGGTTCCAAGACTGGTCCTTCAACGTGACGGACAAGGTCCGGCTGGACAAGATCACGTGTGCGGCACCTGCCAGCCTCGCCGGCGAGGAGCTAACGGCGATCTCACGGGACTCATTCATTTGCCCTTGTAAGTAACTGTACGCCTACATTGGCCAATTGTATTTTCTTAAAGGCGCACTATGTAACATTTTCTTATAGGGAAACTATATAACATTTTATTAAAGGGGCACTATGTAACATTTTATTAAAGGGGCACTATGTAACATTTTCTTAAAGGGGCACTATGTAACATTTTCTTAAAGGGACACTATGTAACTTCTTAAAGGGACACTATGTAACGTTTTCTTAAAGGGGCGCTATGTAACATTTTTGCACCTATATTTTGGTAAAAAATCTTTGTATATTGTAATTTACTTTTCAACGTAGATGTGCATATATTTCTCATTTCAGACATTATAATTGGCGCTCAAGCAGACCACATAATGCACACAAAAATGACCAACTCTTTCATGCATCACATTTACGCCGTCTATCGACTTCTTGGTATATTGCAGCAACATTAACTGACAAGACATGATTACACGCAAGCGCTTAGCTTAATGTTGAAGTCGTTATCAAAACATCAATGGTGAATGTACAATGAAACAAATATAGACAAGCAAAGCACAAGAGTAACAAAGTAAGAGCAACAATGTAAAATAAAGTTACATAAACTTAGCTACAGTCTACATATGCATTCAGTAAAAAACTACATATTTCTGTCTCCATAGGGCATTGCGATACACAGGGCCAAGGATGCTATCGCTTTTTCCAAGACTTGAAAACGTTGGAGGACGCCAATGCTACATGCGCAGCGAACGGGAGCCACCTAGCGACCCTGTACAGCAATGCAACCATGCTGTTCTTCCAAGAGATTGTACTGAACGACATCGACATCTACGACGGTAAACTGCAAATCATTACAGCTTTCTTTTACAAAAGCAACTTATATTTTGCTAAGATCTATAAATCTCTTTTCAAGTAACATATATTTGTTATACTAATCTTCGTAGAAGGAAAACATTTTGAATTTGCTTTTTTTTTCTTCAGTTGCAAACAAATAAGGTCAATAACCTGGTCCAGACGGCTGTCACCATGGTAACTGGTGCTATAGTATACACCTGGTGGCATTAGGTTATATCATGTAGCAAGGGGCTGGTCACCATATGAGTTTAAGTAATAATAAGCAGAGCTTGAGTTTGTTATGCTTGACGACGTGAAGTTAATACTATGTATCATTGTTTTGTAAATGTGATCTTTCTTGTTATAATAATTATTTTCATTTGCCACCCACAGCTCCATACTGGATCGATGCTAACGACAGGGATGTAGAAGGCACGTGGGTGGACGCCAACAACAACGAGCTGGTGTTCGCGCCGTGGGCCAGCGGACAGCCGGACAGTGCCTCCGGCGAGGAGGACTGCTCTACCATCAGGTAAACTGTTAAACCCTATCAGAACCTTCCCCGGCTACTGACAGACCAATGTTGGCGGTAGGTTGAGAGCAGTGTTACTGATTTGGGCGCCTCCAGGTAATGACAAGGGTCCCCGAAGTCACCCTTTTACCGACCAACAGCCAACCAATGTTAGCGGTAGGCTGGGAGATACATGGCCAAATGTAGGCTTCTATCAAATCGAATTTGAGTTAAATTTGAATCGAATTCGACCCCTGGACGGATGCCTGGCGAACCACAGTCTCGTATTAGCCACATGGTGTTTTACATCATTCCCCTGACGGAAGCCTTGTAAATTGTACTTAAAAACTTCCTTAGTTAATGATGTTCTTTTTTTTTTTCACTGTAGATGCCGAGAAGACGGTACCTGTGTGTTAGATGACCAACAATGCAGCGATCGTTTTCGTTACATTTGTGCCTATGGTAAGTTTCCTTCAGTTACGTGTTTGCAAAGCACCAATGATTGTTCTGTCTTAGACACTTTGGTCACTTGATATGTTATATGAAACGTAAAGCTTAAGCTAACACTAAGTGAATTCATACATTGGCTTCTTCTATCTTTCTGGTCAGAGTGCTCTAAACGTCAGTCTAACCTGGTCGGCTGAGTTCGAAAACAAAGAAGGGAGAAGGTCGTCAATGTGTGACAAGGGCTTATTTCAGGGCCCTTACAAAACAATGTCACTTTCCCCTCACCCCACTCCAGAGCTGTGTCCGGCGGAGAACCTGACCACCACACGCGGAGTGTTCCCCTGGCCGGCCACCCAGCCTAACTACACCGCAGAGCTAGACTGTCCACACACCGTCAACGGGCAGACGCACAAGATGGCGTCTAGACACTGGTAAAACATATTCATATGGCAATTTACTGTACATACCAGTAGTTGTTGACATGTACAACTGTAGTTTATTATTACCTTCGCCAAGAAGGTTATGTTTTCGTGGCTATGTGTGTGCGTCTGTGTGTCAACAGCATAACTTGAGAAGGTTTAGATGGATTATCTTGATATTTAGTAGGTGGGTAGGTCTTGATGAGAACTCAAGATGATTAGATTTTGGACCCCTGGCGGCTTATTATGGTATTGCAAGAACTTCCAGTCGTGATATCTAGTGATCTGGACAAGTTAGGGTCATGATTTTTGGATGGTCTGTAGCTCTTGTGCCCAGAAGAAGTGACGTACTCTCCCCCTAGCAGCTTGCTTGGGAACTGCAGGGGCGTTTGTATGGAAATGTTTAAAGTAGGATAACCCAAGAATCGTTTGACCTAGTGTCGTTATTTTTGGTCTGTAGATAGCTTAAGATTGTATACTCCCCTACAGCTCGAAGGATACAGCTGGTGGCCCGGAGTGGGACGCTCCTGTCATCTATGACTGTCCGTATCACCCTGACTTCACCACCGGCGCGCCCCCCACCCCCCTGCCTACCACCTCAACCACAACAGTCAGGCTACCCACTGCGCAAGCGTCAACAAATGTCCCGGATTCTGACTACACCACTCAACAGGTGGGTGTTTCAGTGGATGAAATTGTGGCAGCTAGTAAAAATACTAGCTGTTACCAATAATTCTTGTAATTTGGTCTATTCCCGAACTGAATTTCTTGCAAGGTACAAATTTCACATTTAAAGATCCACACAAGTCTCGACCTGGTCTCGTGTTCTCGCGAGACTAGGTCACTCCGTGATCAAGATGTACAGTCAACATCGAAAGTTTGGAGGTACGTGTTTCTACCTTATAAAACAGTCACTGGGGAGTATTCTACTCATGCTCTGTAATCTTGCGTGACTGACGAACCTCTTTAACTACAAAACGTTTTTATTTTTCTATTTTTGTCACTGTTAACAGGAAAAAACAACAACAATGACGGCATCTACAACATTACCTACAACAGAGAGCATCACCCCTACTACTACTACAGCACAAGCTACAACCACGCATGCTCCAACTACAACGGTCATGCCAACGGATCCGGAAATGACGACAGACGCTGATGTGCCGACAACCCGATCAGACGATCACCACATGGAACCGTGCCCAGAACACACCCCGTCCCCAGACAACCCACAGTTCCCCACCCCTGGGGCCACCGTCCCCACGGTCATTCTTTTGGAGGACTTGGTGATGTTCCAACCTACCATAGGTAAGTTTTAACACTTAAAAGTGTGTTCTGGTAATTAAGATTCTAGTGATTACATACAAAGAAGACCTGTGTTAGTAAGACGCCTACATAGGCCATCTCAAATAATGAAGTACGAAAGAAATCATGTGGCGTAACGGCAGATTACTCGGCTCAGAACCATGAGGTCCTAGGTTCGATTCCTGCCCCTGAAAAAGGCACATTCCACAACCTTCCTTACTTAGCTCAAGTGGAAATGAGTATTGTCTATTGTCTTATGCGTTGGTGGCGGCATAAAAATAAGTTTAATTTAAACTTTTAAAAACTTGAGTGTGCCGTCAATATGTCTTGTGTTAAATGTTGAAATAAAAGAAAGAAAGTCAAACAAAACATAGGTCTTATAAATACTAGTACCTCCTAGCGACCAATGCAAGGAACAGTCCAGGGAGGACAAAATAGGGGTAGGCAGAATTAAGACGAGTTAAATGTCGTTTTACACCTAGAAAACGTGGACCAGCTCTCGGCCCGGTTGTCCTCGCTGACCGAGCAGGCCGTTGAGTTCAGCCCGCGGGAGATAGAGAACGCCGTGGACACGCTGTCCGGGATCGTGTCGCTGGACGAACTGAGCGAGGAGGCGTCCGCTAACGGGATCAAGACCGTCAGCAACCTGCTAGTCGCCATGGAGAGTAGCCTGTTTGAGGCTGAGCTCAAATTCAACTCTACTAAAAAGTAAGTACTGTAATAAAAGTTCACTGTTGTGGTAGTTACATGTCTAAAAGGTGCAACTTTTGTTCAAAGACTGGTCGAAAGCTCTAAGTGAGAAGATGTACATGTTGTGTTGGAAGAAGAGTTTTACCTTAAATTTGAACATGAAAAGTAAGTAATTACGATCTTAAGCGAAAGTTGGGCAATTTTAATAATGTCCAAGGTAATATTCTGCAGCCTGGGTGCCATCCCTTTTGTAACGGGGATTTTGGAGTCGCTAACCCTAAAAGTGTGCAAGGTGCCTTATTACAAAAGGAAAGGCACTAAGGCTAGATATTTTCAATTGTTTCTTGCAACGCAGTATAAAATTGTCATGACAGTATCAAATTACTAGTAGTATCAAATATCAATTTGCCAGTCGTAATTAATATTGTTTGGCTGATAAAAACGCTTAAACCACGTTAGAAATAAGCCCAAGCCTAAATTTCTTGAAGTGTAAAATAACGTTAAGTACTAGATAGTTAAATGTTTGAGACCAGAGGGCAAATACATGTAGGGAAGGACTAAGGGTAGTCATAATGCCACCTGTCGAAAGATAATTGTTGTGCGTCTTCGATTCAAAATCGTCCGTCTTGTTTACAGGATGCTGGACGCCGTGGGCGCTCTGTCCATGAAGGTGAACTTCCAGTCGGAAGTGTTTCGGGCGGTCTCAGAACACGTCGGCATCCTGGTGCTGAACCTGACGGCACCTGATGACGTCAACGGACTACGCTTCTCCGAGATCGGCGCCAACATGACGGCAACACTGTCACAGGGACGGGTACGTATTATCTGCGATATGATTAACTAGAGTTCGGCGATCTCATACCTCCATGAATGTCTAATGATTTTGTAATATTATGTATATGGTGATGGCCACCTATAAATGGCTTACATTCACAATCCTGCTCATTAGCAAAATTTTTATTCAAAGTACTCACATGGCCCTAACTTAGTAACATGCAACACATTGGTGAAATCCTTATCATCTGGCAGGGACAAGGTGTGATATTGTTGGTTCTATGCAAGCTACAGACTAATTTTCAGGTTTTATACACAACAATTACATGGTGGTAAATTACAAGAAACTCTTTGAAATGCCCTTTTAAAAATCTAAACCGGGGCCAAGATGAGAATGGTTGGTTGGTTGGTTGGTTGGTGTGAATGTGATGACGATGTGTGACTCAAATAATTGGTCATTTAAGCTTGGTGGCATGAATTGGAACAATGCTATCGCTAGGAGGGGGGGGGGGGATGTTG